GCATCTCTAATTTGTATGTATCTGATTATTACTAGTCATAATTGGATCCTTGGTGCCTGTGTATGTCTATAAAGTTAAAGGTTAAAAACTCATTCAATTTTATGTCTTACATGGCTTATACTGAGTTCAATATTGTATGACTGTTAATTCAACTGTGAACCTAGAAACTTATAGCCACTTGTGAAAGAGATGTACTCTTGCTCTGGAGTGTGTTACTGAATGCTAAAGCTGTAATGAAAAGCTTATTCTAATCATGTAGTTTTTAAAAAATTTTTTAAAAAATCAAAACAAAAGGCCAGGCGTGGTGTCACACTCCATTAATCCCAGACCTTGGGAGGCAGAGTCAGGCAGATCTCTGTGAGTTTGAGGCCAACCTGGTCTACCTAATGAGTTCCAGGATAGTTGGGGATACAGGGAGACCCTGTCTTTAAAAAAAGAAAGAAAAAAGAAAAGCCAACTCAGAAAGCTGTGGCCAGCCTGGGCTAATTCCAAGACAGGCTGGGCTACCATGTGAGACCTTGTCTCAAAACACAAACAAACAAAAAGGAAAAAAAAAAACAGAAAAAACATCCTAAGAAACACACCCTTAGCTGGGCGTGGTGGTGCACACCTTTAATCCCAGCACTCTGGAGGCAGAGGCAAAGGGATCTCAGTTAGTTCAAGGACAGCCAGGTCTACACAGTGAGTTCCAGGACAGCTGGGGCTACAGGGAGACCCTGTCTCCAAAAGACCGAAAAGAAAGAAACACACCCATTAGCAACACAAAGGTCCAACATCCTGCAATTTTAAAGAACAAAAATGTCCAACCCTTGGACATGGACATATACCTGAAAGAGGAATAAGGCACTTTTCTGTGCCATTTACACACAAATAGGGCAGATACCTCACAAACTAGGGCATAAAACCACAAACAAAAGATACTTTACCTGTTGATAAACACGTGCAATGTTTTAATTTTGCTATAACAAAATATCTGAGAAAGGGTACTTTATATAGAAAATGGGTTTTTCAATGATTGCATAGAATGCTCCAGGTCCTGGGTTCAAACCCTGGAACAACCTTTTTTTTATGTCTTTTTGAGACACAGTCTCCCTGTAGTCCTAGTTGGCCTGGAACTGGCTATGTAGACTAGGCAGGCCTGGAATTGACAAAGATCCACCTGTCTCTGCCTCCCAAGTGCTGGGATTAAAGGCATGCACCACCATGCTTGGCTCAAACCCTGGAACTTCAAAAGAGAAAAAAGGAAAGGGAAGGGAAGAGAAAAAGAAAACCTCATAACGATTAATTCAGTCACAGAAGACCTAACCCACTCCTGTAAAACAGCATTAATGCATCATGAGGGCAGAGTCCTGTGTAAATCAGAGTGTTCTAGAGGAACAGAACCGACAGAATGAGCATATATTAAAAAGAGATTAGCCGTTGTGGTCACACGGGCCTTTAATCCCAGCACTCGGGAGGCAGAGGCAGGCAGGTCTCTGTGAGTTTGAGGACAACCTGGTCTCCATAGCAAATGCAGGCCAGCTATGGCTACAGGGAGACCCTGTCTCAAAAAAGACTCCCCCCCAAAAAAAAGAGACTGAGGCAGGGTGTGGCACATGCCTTTAATCCCAGCACTCCAGAGGCAGAGGCTGGCAGATCTCTGTGAGATGAGGCCAGCCTAATCTAAAAGTGAGTTCCAGACCAGCTGGGCCTCCAGGGAGATCCTGTCTCAGAAAAACAAAAAGGTGGGAGGTAGAGAGATGGCTCAGCAGTTAAGCGCTCATACTCTCCCTTCCACAAGACCTTAAGTTGGTTCCTAGCAACCATATCAGGTGGCTCACAACTGCCTATAACTCTAGCTCCAAAGGATCTGATGCCATTTTTTGGCCTCTGCGCACGCGCACGCACACACACACACACACACACACACAAATAAATTTTAAAAGTTTTTTAATGAACTGGTTTGCTTACAGGATATGGTCCAGGTAGTCCAACAATGGCTATCTCACACTGGAGATGCTGAGAATCCAGTAGTTTCTCAGTCCATGAGGCTGGATGTCTCAGCAGTCCCAACCTAGTGCTGAAGGACTCAAGGATTCCTGGAGAGCTGCTGGTCTTCGGTCCATGTTGGAAACCTGAAAAGGCTGGTTTAAAGATCAGCAAAGGAAACAGGAGTAACGGCAACAGGGTAGATTAACTCCCTGTTGAAATGAAGATCAAGGGAGCAAGAAAAGCAAAGTTTTCCTTTTCCCAAGTCCTTTTACTGCAGCCCACATCTAGTGGGTCTTTCCTCATCAATTAAGGCAATTAACATACACACATATACACATACACATTTCTTTGAGGAAGGCTCTCATTATGCAGCCCAGGCTGGCCTGGAATTTACAGAGATCTGTTTGTCCCTGCCTTCTGAGTACTGAGATTAAAGACAATCCCCTTTTTGTTAACAAATACTTATTCTGTCCATTTGGTTCCTCTAGAGAACCCTGACTACTACTACTACTACTACTACTACTACTACTACTACTACAGACTGTGGTACCAGGAGTGGTTCTGGAGAAACAGAAATGTAAAAATGAATTTTTCTAGTGGTCTTGGCATCTGGAGCTGGTTCTCCAACTCAAGGAAGCCTACAGTTACTGAAGCCTCCTCTGGTAGTATAGAGAATACTGAAATTCCACAGTGTGACCTATTTAAGAACTATGTAAGATATTGGATACTACTGATTCACCTCTTGTGAGGGGCAAGGAATTTAAGAACTCTGTATATAAAACTTTTTTTTTGTCTTTTTGTGACAGGGTCTCCCTGTAGTCCCAGCTGGCCTGGAACTCACCATGTAGACCAGGCTGGCCTTGAACTCACAAAGACTCACCTGCCTCTGCCTCCTAAGTGCTGGGACTAAAGGAGTGTGCCACCATGCCTGGCTAAGCAGTCTTTTAAAAAAATTCTTATTTATTATTTTTATTTTATGTGTATGCCTGTATTGCCTGCATGTGCACCTGTGCACCTGTGTCATGCAGTGCCCTCAGAGGACAGAAGAGGCTGTCAGATCCCTGGAACTGGAGTTACTGACAGCTGCCATGGGGGTGCTGGGATACGAACCCAGGTCTTCTGCAAGAACAGTCAGTGTTCTTAACCGCTGAGCCATCTCTCCAGCCCAAGAAGTCTTTATATATAAGACTTTTGGACATTTGTGGAAAAGCAAAGAAAATAATGATGATGACTGGTTCTTGTAGCATCCCTGAATAAAATGGCAAAGGAAAAGAATGAACTAGTTGACAAATTTAGCCAGTTCATCGGCGTGAGCTGCGCGGCGGCTGGGAAGGAGGCTACGACGGTGGCGGCGGTGGTGAGCGCGGCCTTCCCTTCCGCCCGGCATGTCTGCACGTGGTCCCCACCTCCGCCTCCCTGAGAACCCCGGCCCCCCTCAGCCCGGCCGCCCCTCGCGCCGACTTGCGACCTCCTACCCCTCCCCGACCCTGCGGCCGTCCGACCCCACCCGGGCTCTTTCCGAGACCCCTGACCCTAGGCAGACTTCCTGAAAGGCCTGCCAGTCTACAACAAGAGCAACTTCAGCCGATTCCATGCAGACTCCGTGTGCAAGGCCTCGAACCAACGGCCCCCAGTGTACCTGCCTACCCGGGAGTACCCGTCAGAACAGATCATCGTGACAGAAAAGACAAACATCCTCCTGCTCTACCTACACCAGCAATGGGACAGAAAGAATGCTGCCAAGAAGAGAGACCAAGAACAGGTGGAGGCAGAGGGGGAGAGCTCGGCGCCACCCCGAAAAGTGGCGCGGACCGACAGCCCGGACATGCCAGAGGACACCTAGGCCCCATGTGCCTGCTCACCCCGTCTGTCTGCTCTGTCCACTCCTGCCCGCGTGTGTAAGCGCAGCCCGCCCACACCCAGCCCATACCCCTCCAACCTCATAGGACCCAAGTATTTATTTTCCTTGAGTTTTTATTTATGCTGTAACTTGTGTCAAGCATTGGTTAAAGGGACATCAGACCCAGCTGTGAGGTGTCAGTAGGCCCTTTTTCACACAGTGGTGTCCCCCACCCAGCCACCTGTCAGTAAGGCCAAGCCCAGGGTCCAGGGCCAAGGTGGCCTGGCCTCCCACAACACCAAGCAGCCTTCTTGATCCTTCCCATCCATAGGCTCTGCCTGGTCTGGAGTCCCCCACCCCCACCCCCTCCCCACTCGGGGTTCCTCCCATGCCCAGGCCTCACTGAGCCCATACCAGGGCATGGGAGACAAGGCCCTTTTGGATCTTTCTCTTAAGTCATTTTATCATGGACTAGCCCATGCTCCACGTCCACCCCAATAAAAGGATCTTTCCTACTCAGAAAAAAAGTAGCCAGTTCAATTTGCATAAAACAATCCAAAGGTTTCTAAGTGAATCCTGAAAGAGAATCATCTCTCTAGCAGCCTTAGAGCTGCAGAAAACCAAACTCAAGCTCTCATCATATGAGTTAAAGTGAGGGCACTGATTGGAAAAGAGTGGGATCCTATGATTTGAGATTTGTGGGAGGACCCTAAGGAGGTTGAGGGTGTTGAACTCTGATTCTGAGGAAACAGTCTCCCCAACCTTAGCAGATGATGCATGCCCATCTCCAACCCCTGCAGAATTGCCCTCTCTGCCCTTGCCTGGTGGAATTAGCCCTGCATTGTCTCTAGAGCCATCAAGGATTTTCCATGAAGACGATACCAGGCAAGACAATGCCGAAGTCCCTCAGGGATCACCCATATTGCCTCTAGACCTATAACCTGACTCAAGGCTAAATAGGCCCCTAGAGGTGAGATGGAAAGTGTTCAAAAACCACTAAAGAACTAATGAGTTTGCTAATTCGTTCAAGCGGAAGTCTAGGGAATATGTGTGGCAATGGGTTTTTAAGGTGTGGGATAATGGTGGAAAGAGCATGAAATGGGATCAGGCTGAGTTTATAGATGTGGGCTTGCTAAGCAGAGATCATAGGCTTAATGTCGAAGTTCACACAGTTTGAAAAAAAAAAGGTACCAAGAGTTTATTTGATTGATTGGCTGAAGTATTTGCTCAAAGATGGCCTGCTGAGAAGGAGCTGGAGGTGTCTGATATGCCTTGGTTAGTGTTGAGAAAGGGATTCTAAGGCTCAGGAAAATTGGAATACTGGAATGGATTTGTTGTTTAAAACCTAATTCTCCACAGTGGGACTGCCTAGAAGACATGCCTTTCTCTAATACCACAAGACATATATTGTCTCAATTGGATCAATTAAATGTGGCAGCACTGACTTGCACGAAAGCAAGGTGAACCTAGTTACCATAATGTACAACACAGATAATGCCAAGGACTTGAAAGATGCAGGGGTGGTGACTCCCACCACATCTCCCTCTAACTCCCCTATCTGGCCTGCGCAGAAGACAGATGAATCATGGAGAATGATAGTTGACTTTTGCAAACTTAATCAAGTAGCAACTCCAGTTGCAGCTGCTGTGCCAGAGAGGATTAAGACATACCCTGGGACCCAGCATGCAGCTATTGATCTGGCAAATATTTTGTTATTTTTTAATACCTGTCCATAAGGGCCACCAGAATCAATTTGCTTTCAGCTGGCAAAGCAAGCAGTATACCTTTACTGTCCTACTTCAAGGATATATTAACTCTCCAGCCCTTTGTCATAACTTAGTTCAAAGGGTTTTGATTACTTGTCTCTTCCACAAGGCATCACACTGGTCCACTATATTGATGGTATTATGCTGACTGGACCCAGTAAGCAAGAGACAGCAATCCTTCTGGATTTGCTGATCAAGTAAATGTGTATCAGAAGATGGGAAATAAATTCAACCAAAATTCAAGGGCCTTCTACTCCAGAGAAATTTCTAGGAGTCAGTAGTGTGGGCATGTGGAGATATCCTTTCTAAGGTGAAAGAGAAGTTGTTGTACCTGGCCCCTCCTTCCATCAAGAAAGAAGCACAATGTTTCGTGGGCCTATTTGGATTTTGGAAGCAGCACGTTCCTCACTTGAGTGTGTTGCTCCAGCCTATATGCCAAGTAAGTCAGAAAGCTTCTAGCTTTGAAGAAGGCCTAGAACAGGAGAAGGCTCTTCAATGGTCTAGGCTGCTATGCAGGCTGCTCTGTGTCTTGAGCCATATGATCCAGCAGACCTGATGGTACTTGAGGTATCAGTGACAAAGCTAGAGATGCTATCTGAAGCCCTTGGCAGGTCCCTATATGTAAATTACAGTGGAGGCCCTTGGGATTTGGAGCAAGACCCTACTGTCGTCTGAATACAAATATTCTCCATTTGAAAGACATCTTTTGGATTGCTATTAGGCCTTAGTTGAAAGTGAATGTTTGACAATGGGCTACCAAGTTGCTATGCAACCTGATGCTGCTCTTGAGCTGGGTGTTATCTACCCAACAAGTCATAAAGTTGAATGTGCACAGCAGCAATCCATCATCAAATGGAAGTGGTATATGTGTGAACAGGCCTGAGGTGTTCCAGAGGGTACAAGCAAGTCACATGAAGAAGTTGACCATATGCCTATGGTTCCTACTCCTGTTACAATGCCACCTGTTCCCAAGCATGCACTTATGGCTTCATGGGCTGTGATGGTTAGCTTTAATTGTCAACTAGACACAACAGAAGAGAATCTCAGTGAGGAACTGACTACATTGGGTTAGCCTATGGACATGTTTGCTGGGGATCTTCTTAACTGGTGTAGGAAGACCCAGTCCACTTCTTAGGCAGGGTATCCTGAACTGTATAAGAGTAGAGAAACTGGGGCTGGATAGATGGTTCAGTGATTAAGAACACTGGCTGCTCTTGAAGAGGACCTGAGTTCGATTCCCAGCACCTACACGGTGGCTAACAACTGTGTGGAATTCTAGTTCAAGGGGATCCAACGCCCTCTTCTGACCTCTGCAGGCATGGCATGACATGGGTGCACTTACATACATTCAGGCAATACACTCATACACATAAAGTAAAAATAAATAAAATATTTTTTAAAAGAGTAGAGAAACTAAGCAAGCAAGTCCCATGTATTCATTCTCTCTGCTCTTGACTTTAGGTGTGATGTGAACAGCTGTTTTAAGTTCCTGCCACCATGAATTCCTTACTATGATGGACCACGACCTGGAATTGTGAGCTAAAATAAGCTCTTTCTCCCCTAAATTGCTTTGTGAGGACAGACTGAAACTAGAACATTTGACTTAATTTCCTTTGATTAGGTCCCCACCTCTTAAAGGTCTTCCACTTGCAACCAAGCATGAATCTTTAAATGACAAATCAGATCCAAACTATGGCACATGAAGTCCCCTGAAACCCAACCATTGTGATAGAAATCTAAAGGCAGGATAAAAACCTTATCTGGGAAATAAACAGATGAAAGACTACAATTCCATAACACATACATGAAAGAGACCTTAAAACAAAGACACACACCCACAAACAGACCAGAGATCGTAAGTCCCACAAAATAGTTCTATAACAAAGAGTTCTCACATTCTAGGAAAAAGATCTAGAGACTTGATTATATACCTGACACCTTGGTCTCAAGGAATTCAGAGTGTTATGGTTTGGGGTCATAGGCCCACAAAAGTATCAAAGACCTCAACCCATACAAAATATACCCACAATTAATTTTAGATCTAAACATACATAAATAGATCAGAGACATCTTATTCTGAAAATACACATATGCATATCCATTTGGATATAAATGAATGAATCAGAAATCTCATTTTTCAGAAATATGTATGAAACATGAGACCTAATAACCTGAGCATAACACAAACCCCTCAGAGACCTCACATATTAGAACATGTCAGCCAAAAGGTCTTATATCCTAGGACAGGGACAGACAGGCAGACAGACAGATACACACGCACACACGCACACACACACACATACACACACACACACACACACACACACACACACTACAGACTTTATATTCTGAGATGTATACACACAAAACACTGAAACCACAAACTTAGAGACACTCATACAGGTCAGGTCAGAGTCCTCTCATCCTGGGAGTTCCCATCCTCAGATGTCCACCAGCAACACTGGATACCATACTCATCACTGTTGGAACAAATCACTAGCTTAGTGCTTTTGAAAAAACACAATTAACTTCTATTAAAAAAAAAAGAAAAAACACAAATTAGGGCTGGGAGTGTTGTTCAGTTGGTAGAGTGCTTGCATACCACAAAGCCCTGAGTTCAATCCCCAGCACTGGATAAACATGGTATGGTAATGCTAACTACCCTTCAAAAACCTCACAAATTTATTTATATTACACTTATTTAGGATGGAAACTTGAAAGGGGGCTTAAAATCAGATGTCAACAGAGCTTTCTTCCTGCTGGAGACAGTCATTTGTCTCTTCTTTCACCTTCAAATGCAATCATGCTTCACCTTCTAGTTTCTCTGATCTCCATGTCTGCCATCATAACTCCTTCTCTGGTGTCAGTTATCACTGCTTCCCATGCCCCAGTCACCTCTCCTCAGCTGCTTATCTTTAGGGAGCCTTTACTTGGCCAATAACAAACGTGTGCATAGAATGAGACGCTTTATAGCTTGGGATATCTTCCCATAAACAGCACAAAGACACACAACTATAAATATTCCTATCATCATATTCCTGTCTCTGTCTCAGTTTGTGGCACTATATGGTATTCAGTGACAATAATCATCCTCCCCTCCCACCTTTAAGGATTCTTGCGATTTTACTGAAACCTCATAGAAAATTCAAGAAAATATGTCAAGATGCTTACTCTAATCACACCTCCAAAGTATTCTTTTAACATGTGAAGTCACATATTCAGTTTCCAAGTTATTACATGAGCAACTTTAGGGGGGGCAAACATTGGCAGAACAGACACATGTGCACATAGAGACTCCCCATCACAAAACATACCTCCATAAAGTTCAGAGACCTAAAATATTAGACACATAATAGAAACAGCTCAAGATCCCCTCCTGAGTCTCATATCTAGAAGTGATGAGGCATTCCAACGGAGTATACAACTAAAGAGCACAGACACACCCACATCCTGAGGCACAGCCTCACAAGGCTAGACACAGACCCACAAACAGAACAGACTTAACACCCCTAACAAACAAAGGGTTTTTGTTTTGTTTGGGAGGTGTTCTATATTGCAGTGTTGGGGATGAACCCCAGAGCTTCACACACACTAAGTAAATGTGGTGGTTTGAATGAGAATGTCCCCTATAGGCTCCAAGTATTTGAACACTTGGCCCTAGTTGGTGGAGCTGTTTGTGGAGGTTTAGGAGATGTAGCCTCCAGTAGGAGGAAGCACATCACTGGTCACTGGGGTGTAGGCTTTGAGAGTTC